GAAAAGGAAACTTAAGCGGTGGAAAAATTGAAAGAAAATCGTTACTTAGGAATTTTGCTTACTTTTACAAACACAAGAGGCCACTGATTTCGTAGTGTGATAAGCTGAAGTCTATCCTTAGCTGGTTCATTCACTCGTAGTCGAGTAACTTCAACATTGCCAGCATATCCACTGGTTTTAATCACTCCGAGGCACTGAAAATAAAGGTGTTAATCGTTAATTTCCCATCCATAATACTTCCCCGGATGGAACAGAGTCATGGGCAAAATCCCAAATCATCAGACTCTCAGACTCAAACTTCAATATGCGGAGTAGGCTGAGTAGATTAAGAGGGTGCGATAGTCTCAAATAATTGAAAATTTTTTCGAGGTTTTCGCCTGAAAACAAACTTTGCTCTCAAACGCTTAGAGACAGTCATGAGAAAGCTGGAACAAGCTAGACGCCCGTTGCATCCACGACATTCTAGATGAATTCTATGAAAATATGAACTACAGATACCCTCAATCAGGAAGTCTAAAAACCTAGAAAACATTGATCGATTACTGGGTGCAAACTTAGTAAGGTTGAAAATTATTGTAGATTGATCGCTTGCACGATTTTTATTAAAAAAACACACTGTCACTAGAGAGACATTCTGATGCAATCAATCATTTTTTCATTTTAAATCAAAATCGAGCATTTCTGACAGATAAGGGATGGAAAAAAATGAGAAAAAAAAACGGAAAACAACATTGATCAAGTAACGAGATTGAAAAACCACATTTTCACCGCAGCACAATAAATTTAGAGTAATCAACTTACAGCATTGACGTCGCCTTCCTCTCCGGAATGAACAATGGCAATTTTAGCCGATGCGATTGCTTCGAGTACAGAGGCGATATTGATATGAATGTATCGTCGTGCACGTGAAAGCTGCGAGCCTGTCGAATTTGGCATACCCGCAGCCACAGCTCCCATCTTTGGAGCTGGCACAGGCGATACTGGAAATATGACACTAAAGAACGCAATACAATAATTTAATAACAATATGCACACAAAAATATTGGTGCCCTTTGCTTTAAGAATGATTACACCGAAAAGCCCCTTTAAAACTTCACAGAAAAAATTTACTACAATCACCCTGAATTGAATATACAAAACATAAGCTCAAATTTCATTTCTATCCTTCAGTACGACTGGGATGTAGCAATGAAACTGGAGCATCTATTCGTCTAAGAATTCCAATGAACAGGCACAGCGGCAAAAACGCGGCTAATTTAATGACTTTTCTCGTGAAGATTTCTGTTGAGAAGAGACCTCTGCAACTCAAGTTTAGGTACGGAATCATTCTATTATAATTGACACATTTCAAAAGTCACAATATAACATGTATTTTTGGTTGTATTCGCCATCTTTGCTTGAGATCGGGAAGGTAAACATGCGATTTTGAAAAGTTTGGTACATCGCTTTAAAAAAACATGTGCATGCTTACGCATTCGCGCCTAATCTTGGAAAGAATGGATATTGGATTATAAATCCCCAGTTAAGATGGATTTTCTCAATATTCCAAATAACACGGAATCGAATCTGTATAGCTAATACCGATGCTTTAATTGAGGATAACTCCATGCTGGTGAAAAATTTGCGAAGATCGATAAACAAATTTTAGCATTACCAATTTCAGTCACAGTTCCCTCTGTCTTTGTTATAAGTTTTCAATGAGGAAGTACAAGTGATTCGAATGACAAATTCTAGAACCACATTTTTTCTTCAGAAACTTAATCTTATTGAAACCATGAATCATTCTCGACCTCAGGAACGATGAAATAACAGGCCATTGAACAAAAATTGGTCTTCTTTCAGCCTATTTATGTAATATGGAGCAGAACAAAT